CTTGAGCCACAGGCGCCAAGCCTATGTTGTAGATCTTGAAATATAGTCAAATAATTTAGATTCCCCCTTCAGTGAACAGATGTCACCAACCACTTTTAGCAGTCAACGGTGTGAAAACAAAGATTCCAAAACATTTGGAATCACCTTTTCTAATAAACGGTATGGATTGAACTCTACTGGGTTGATCTTTCTCTTTCTCCTACTCTCATTGAATTCACAACCTAAACGATACCTAAAGAGCTGGGCTCCTTGGGGCTTTGATTTGAAAAGGTCAGTGGTTATGATCTAGCCTATTACCTCTAGGCTTCTCCTGCACAAATTGGCTGCCATCTATATCTACCATCATTGGAGGCATAGGAGACTATTTAGAATGAATTTGCTCTTTTTTTTTTTTTTTTTTTAAGGAGACAGAGTCTCACTTTGTCACCTTTGGTAGCGTGCCATGGTGTCACAGCTCACAGCAACCTCCAACTCCTGGGCTTAGGCAATTCTTTTGCCTCAGCCTCCTGAGTAGCTGGGACTATAGGCACCCACCACAATGCCCAGCTATTTTTTTTGTTGCAGTTTGGCTGGGGCTGGGTTTGAAGCTGCCATCCTGGGTATATGTGGCCCGTACCTTACCCATTAAGCCACAGGTGCTGTCTGACTTTGCTCTTATTTAAAGAAAGTGAGGTGGGTAATAACCAATAAGTATATATCCTGCTCTGCAATGTTTTTTAAAATGCAGTAGAAACGCCGTAGTTGACCACCTCCTCATATTAGCCACCTCCTTAAGTTGACCTAATTTTCATAGACTGGACATGTACCACATGTCCATATCAATACAGTAGGCCTAGTTCCTTATCTTGAACTAGTTCCTTATGTTCCTTAGTGTTGACAACCTCTGTATGTTGACCAGTTGGTTATAGTGCCTTGTGGTCAACTTATAGAGGTTTGAAAATCAGCATGCTTTTCTCTTACCAAACTGTCACCTACAGTAGAACCTCTCTAAGTTGACAACTCAAGGGACTGTAACAAACTGGTCAATGTACAGAGGTAGAACTTCCTTGAGTATAAGTCTGGTCTATGAAAATTAGGTCAACTTAAGGAGGTGGTCAACTATGGAGCTTCTATTTTATATGGTTTTTATTCTAAAGGTATACTGTATTTCCTCACTGTTATGGATTGAATTTTTATGCACCCCCCAAATTTGTATTTTGAAGCCCTAACCCCCAATGTGATGGTATTAGGAGGTGGGGACTTTGGGAGATAATCAGGTTTAATTGAGATCGTGAGGGTGGGGTCTTTATGATGGGATTAGTACCCTGATAAGAAGAGACAAGAGAACTTGCTTGCTTTCTCCATCAGGTGAGAATATGGCAAGGCGGCAGCCATTTGCAACCAGAGAGCGATCCTCCCCAGAACCTGACCATGCTGGCACCCTGATCTTAGATTTCCCAGCCTCCAGAACCAAGAGAAATGCATGTATAAGCTGCTCACTCTACTCACTCTATGGTATTTGTTTTTTAATAGCGGCTAGAATGGATTAATACACCAGAAAATGGTCTATACTGAACCAGTGTGAAA